TCCGTGGGAGGGGGCTGCCAGTGTCTCGAGCTGAGGTTACATCCCCTGGGGGCGGACAGAGACTGCCACACGAGAGGGCAGGCCATTCTCACAACTGACACTGATGTCTACATGCACGTTTTATCCAGAGACTGAAGTAGGAGTGTGTCTGAACATTTATCTACCTGCCCGTAATCAACTGGCTGCCTCCCGCGCGCGGTTCCAGCACGGCCGTCACGGCACAGAAGTGCAGTTGCCAAGGCTGGCTAGCAGCAGCAAAAGCACACAGACGGATCTGGCCATTTCCCTAGAAGGCTAGGGGAGCGAATACAGGGCCGAGAGTGGAATGCGAGCCAGAGCACGTGTGGCTCCCATCTCCAAGCCAGCGTGGCCTGCTTCCTCCACGCTCCACAGCAAATGCAGGGCCGACAAGGCACCGCCCACGGCTGCAGAATGGGCCTGGAAGCCCAGCTTCACTCCCGCTGGAGGAAAGCTCGGCCACCTGGCATTGTAAGGGAAGCCTGATGGGCGCACGAGGGACAGTTAGCTCCTGGCTTCCTGCAATCGATCAGGCAGGACCCGCTAACACCCAAATTCTCTCTCCATGGCTTGTCTTTCTGCCGGAGGCCGTGAGCCGAGCCAGTTCCCCACGCAGGCCGGGGCCCAGCTCCCCCTCAGGATGGCTCAATTCCAGGGTCATTCACTTTCTCTCATGCAGACTGTGTCCTTGGTTGAGCGAGCAGAGTAACTCCGCACGGACAGAGCCCCGTGGCCGGACCGTCTACACGCCCACTACCACCTGCCCTGAGCAGCCGAGGGGAAGTCGTGTCCGACAGCTACGGTGTCACGTCAGGGTAACAAAACTGGGAGGGATTTTCTCCAAACCACCCAGAAACCTTTTCTCTCTGTTACCTTCTGAATGACTGGAGAGAAGCAGGGTTAACCCCAGGGTGTCTCAGAGACCCTTCAGGACAGCAGCACTTCGAGATCTCGTCTCCCCAGGGTTCACAGCCAGCCCCTGTGCTCTGGGAGTTTGTGCATTTATTGCCATATTCCTGTTCTCTCTCCCCTTCTGCTGTGCGACCCCCCTGCCGAGGAGGGAGGCAGTGAGGCTGGCTAGGTGCAGCGCGGTCACACACAGGACACATGCTGAGGCTAGTCACCTTCCCTCCCAGCGACGTTAGAAGTGAGGCTTGGAACAGCAGAAGGTACAAATGACTCCGTGTGGCTCTTTAATTGAGGCTCCATAGCCAGCAAAGCAGCAGGTCGGCAAGGCACTGGGGCTCCAGTGTGGCAGCTGGAGTCAGCAGAGCAATGCCGGGCCCTCCGTGCACGCCCCACGGCCCCTGCAGACCCAATGAGAAAGTCGCGCAGACTCTCCGAACCAGCCCAGTCGCCCCCGAGGGAGCCACATTCGGGGGGGGATGTTAGACAGCGCGTCTCCGTGACTGTGCGATAGCCCCGGGGCAGGGGCAGGAGCCAGTGCGCTCCCGAGGGCGCCACATTCGAGTGGAGATGTTAGACAGCGCGTCTCCGTGACTGTGCGATAGCCCCGGGGCAGGGGCAGGAGCCAGTGCGCTCCCGAGGGCGCCACATTCGAGTGGAGATGTTAGACAGCGCGTCTCCGTGACTGTGCGATAGCCCCGGGGCAGGGGCAGGAGCCAGTGCGCTCCCGAGGGCGCCACATTCGAGTGGAGATGTTAGACAGCGCGTCTCCGTGACTGTGCGATAGCCCCGGGGCAGGGGCAGGAGCCAGTGCGCTCCCGAGGGCGCCACATTCGAGTGGAGATGTTAGACAGCGCGTCTCCGTGACTGTGCGATAGCCCCGGGGCAGGGGCAGGAGCCAGTGCGCTCCCGAGGGCGCCACATTCGAGTGGAGATGTTAGACAGCGCGTCTCCGTGACTGTGCGATAGCCCCGGGGCAGGGGCAGGAGCCAGTGCGCTCCCGAGGGCGCCACATTCGAGTGGAGATGTTAGACAGCGCGTCTCCGTGACTGTGCGATAGCCCCGGGGCAGGGGCAGGAGCCAGTGCGCTCCCGAGGGCGCCACATTCGAGTGGAGATGTTAGACAGCGCGTCTCCGTGACTGTGCGATAGCCCCGGGGCAGGGGCAGGAGCCAGTGCGCTCCCGAGGGCGCCACATTCGAGTGGAGATGTTAGACAGCGCGTCTCCGTGACTGTGCGATAGCCCCGGGGCAGGGGCAGGAGCCAGTGCGCTCCCGAGGGCGCCACATTCGAGTGGAGATGTTAGACAGCGCGTCTCCGTGACTGTGCGATAGCCCCGGGGCAGGGGCAGGAGCCAGTGCGCTCCCGAGGGCGCCACATTCGAGTGGAGATGTTAGACAGCGCGTCTCCGTGACTGTGCGATAGCCCCGGGGCAGGGGCAGGAGCCAGTGCGCTCCCGAGGGCGCCACATTCGAGTGGAGATGTTAGACAGCGCGTCTCCGTGACTGTGCGATAGCCCCGGGGCAGGGGCAGGAGCCAGTGCGCTCCCGAGGGCGCCACATTCGAGTGGAGATGTTAGACAGCGCGTCTCCGTGACTGTGCGATAGCCCCGGGGCAGGGGCAGGAGCCAGTGCGCTCCCGAGGGCGCCACATTCGAGTGGAGATGTTAGACAGCGCGTCTCCGTGACTGTGCGATAGCCCCGGGGCAGGGGCAGGAGCCAGTGCGCTCCCGAGGGCGCCACATTCGAGTGGAGATGTTAGACAGCGCGTCTCCGTGACTGTGCGATAGCCCCGGGGCAGGGGCAGGAGCCAGTGCGCTCCCGAGGGCGCCACATTCGAGTGGAGATGTTAGACAGCGCGTCTCCGTGACTGTGCGATAGCCCCGGGGCAGGGGCAGGAGCCAGTGCGCTCCCGAGGGCGCCACATTCGAGTGGAGATGTTAGACAGCGCGTCTCCGTGACTGTGCGATAGCCCCGGGGCAGGGGCAGGAGCCAGTGCGCTCCCGAGGGCGCCACATTCGAGTGGAGATGTTAGACAGCGCGTCTCCGTGACTGTGCGATAGCCCCGGGGCAGGGGCAGGAGCCAGTGCGCTCCCGAGGGCGCCACATTCGAGTGGAGATGTTAGACAGCGCGTCTCCGTGACTGTGCGATAGCCCCGGGGCAGGGGCAGGAGCCAGTGCGCTCCCGAGGGCGCCACATTCGAGTGGAGATGTTAGACAGCGCGTCTCCGTGACTGTGCGATAGCCCCGGGGCAGGGGCAGGAGCCAGTGCGCTCCCAGCCCCACTCCGGGGAGATCCCTGTGCCGATGCCTCTGATCCAGAGGCAGCAGCATGGGGTGGAAGGCAGGAGCCAGTCCGAAAACCCGAGCACGCTGTGGACAGAGGCTGCACTGGCATCCATGGAGCAGCCTCTGTCTGTGGCAAGCTCGGACCACTGCGGACAGAGGCTACTCTGTGGCAGCCTCTCCTGCCCCCCCACCGCTCCACGCTTGGGGAACCGGGGCAGCTGGAGAACCAGCTTTTAAACCGGCTCACCCCAGCACTGGCTCCTGCCTGTCCCCCCTCCGCTGTCTCTGGGGGAGCCAGCAAAGGCAGGAGGCAGGTGGTGCTGCAGAGCTGGCCCATGTGGGGAGTTGGCCTAAAAGCCGGCTCCCCCCTTCCCCGCTCCCTGCGCTGCTGCCTCGCATAGAAAGGCAGCAGCATGTGGTGGCAGGGGCTCTGCAGGCAGCCATCTTGAAAGCCTCCTGTGTTGCTGCCTATCAGAGGGCGCCACGTGGGCATGGGGGGCAGGTGGCTCGGCAGATCTGGGGCTCGTGGGAAGCTGGCTTGAGCCGGCTCTTCACGGACCCCGGCTCCCGCCTCCCCCACCTTGCTGCCTCCGGCACGTTCCCTGCTCTCTAGCCCAGCGGCTCCCAACTGTTTCCAGAGGGGCCCATTCTGACAGTTCAGGAAGACTTGGTGACCCAGGGCAATGCAAACACAAGGGGGGGCAGAGCCACTGGGGAGACACTTGGCGACGGGAGACCCTGGTCTACTCTTGCAGGCTCATTCTGGGCTTCCCTGGCCACGTTTTAGCTGCAGAATCTCTCTCCCCGTCAGCACAAGACTGCAGCAGGAAGGACTCGGGGAAACCCTCGAGGCACTAGCGCCAAGAGCGGAGTGCCTCTCGGTAACCGAGTCCCACCCTGCCTGCACGGAGCCATTCCCCGGACGCTCCTGAGCATGGGCCCGGAAGGAGACCCCCTGCCACTGATCAGCCAGTTCAACGTGAGGCTCACTTCACGTCTAACCAGTCACCCACCCCAGCCCAGCGGGCCATCCGGAGCACAGCCTGCCTGAGATGCGCCTGGGCCTGCTGCAGACGGGCTGCTCGGGAAGCCGGGAGCAGTCCCCCGCCCATGGCAGCAGGGAGCTGCTCCAGCCCCCACCTGCATCACGCGTTAAGGGCACTGCTTACCGGGGAGCCTTTCCCGTCCCTAGCGTAACCCTGGCATCCCGGGATCAGACTGGCCCTTGAAAAGGAGCCAGTGCCGTCGATGCCAGCTCAGACTGACGGGCAGCCTCTTGCTGTGTTTGGAGAGAAGAGCCTAGGGCTCCCCCCGCACCCTCCACCCCCCGAGGGAAGCCGGGGAGGTCCCGGGTCTGTACCCCGCTGCCCATGCAATATCCAGCCTGATGCAGCGGTGTCACTTCAGGAAAGTCCTTGGGGCTCCCATTTAGAGCCCCTCCCACATCTGTCCCAGCAGCTACTGCAGCACAACTGGGCTGGGGAGAGCGAGAGCCCAGCCCACTGCCTGGGCCTCCTAGAGCTTCCGCCCCAGGCAAAACGGGAGTGAAAGCACCTGGCCTGGGACTCTGGTCCCAGGTGACACCCTCAGCAGTGGCAGAACCCGGGGCCCACTTGTGGGTGCCGCTTTCACTCACCACACCGCACACGCCGCGTCTACACCCAAACCGAGGCAGCCACAGTACAGGGTGGGGGTGGGGAACGAGCAGAGCTGCAGCTTCCTGGCTTGGTCCAGCTGGGAGCAGCCCCAGTCTGTCTGCGGGGAGCCCATTCCAACAGGCAAGCTCCATCCCAAAACAAGCCAGCATGTCACATGGAGCCTGCCTTCCGGGGAGAGCAGCAGAGCACCGAGGGGCTTTTAGCTCCAGGCGCATACCCCGGAAAGGGCAGAACTTTTGCAGCCAATGGGTGCGTGGCTGGCAGGGCCTGCTTGAGAGCAGAGCAAGCAGGAACGAAGAAATGCGACAGGCCGGGAGAACTGGCCAGGCAGGTTCCAGAGTACACACAGGCCCTCTGAGCACTCCTCCGGTCTCCCAGCTGCGCGCCGGCGGCATGCGTAGAGAATGCCCATGCCACACAGGGAGCTAGGGCGTTGGCTGGCTATGCAACTCCTGGGGGAATCCAGCGGCTCACGAGGGAATTAACAAAGCAGAAATCCAGCCACCCACGGCTCAGCAGCACTGACGTGGCGGAGGGAGAATTATTTAACTGCTCTGCTCCCATGGGGCGAGGGCAGGAGAACAGAGATACTGGCACAGCCAAGGCCACCGAACCCGGGTGCACGGGATCCATTCAGAGGAGAGCTGGGCTGCATTTCCGGCCGGACGCGCACCGCAAAGCTCCCGCGCCACCTCCCGGCAAGACTATCGCTCACTCTGCTTGGACAGAGCCACGCCCAGAAACAGCCTCCGGCCGCCCGGCCTGGAGTATCCTGCTGAGACATCACTCAGCCCCCAGGAGAGCCAAGTCGTGGCCTCAGAATGCCACAGAGCTGCCCTGTGAGAGACGTTTGTCTGGGACCCTCCATGCCAGTGCCAGGGGATGGCCAGATGCCTCGAGCAGCCGCTCTGACCAGCTGCACTGCCAGCCCGCAGCACTCCTACGAGCATCCAGCTCGAGCCTGCAGCACCTGGGCACTGGAGTGGGAAGAGGAGCTAGACCCGGGCTGGCCACACGTGGCTATCTGGCCGTCTGGGTATGGCTAGTTGACTTGAACCTTGTGGCCTGGTATTTTTGGTTAATCCTGTCGAGTACACGCCCCCGCCCCCTTGCTGCCTCTGTAGCAGGCAAGGGAGGGGGGAACGAGCATCCAGCTCGAGCCTGCAGCACCTGGGCACTGGAGTGGGAAGAGGAGCTAGACCCGGGCTGGCCACACGTGGCTATCTGGCCGTCTGGGTATGGCTAGTTGACTTGAACCTTGTGGCCTGGTATTTTTGGTTAATCCTGTCGAGTACACGCCCCCGCCCCCTTGCTGCCTCTGTAGCAGGCAAGGGAGGGGGGAGGCAGGAGCCGGTGCCCAGGAGAAGCCAGCTCCCCCTGGGCACCAGATCCTACATAGCCGCATGCCCCCAACCCCCGTGCTAGTGCCTCCCTCAGAGGCAGCACCACAGGGTGGGGCGGGGGCTCGGGGAGGCTGCCACAGAGCCCCAGGAGGGCTGCAGACAGAGGCTGCTCCAGGGGATGCCCAGGCTTATCAGCTAATTGTCTCCACGGATACGCTAACACCCCCAACTTACAGAGGGACACACATCTCTAAGGGGCTCTCAATCGAGCAGACACAGCTCCAACATGACCCAGTGTCTGGCAGCTGCAGTTCAGACGGCAAATGTCTGACCACGAGTATCAGCCACTGCATCAGTTTCCCACGGGTGGATTCTCCAGCACCGGCAATTTGCAAATCAAGAAGAGCGGATTCCTTAGAGGCACGGCCCCAGGAATTGCTGTGGGGCAGATCTCAGGCCTGTTGTTCAGAAGATCTGACTACATGATCACAATGGCTCCCTCTGGCCTTCAAATCTACTGAGCAGCTCAGGCACGGGCAGCCAGTCACTACCGGCAGGGAGCCCAGGAATGCGGGTGTGCTCAAGCACAGGGATTTACTGCCTGCTTTGGGAGACAGTGTGGCAAGCCCCGCCCCTGCTGATGTCATGCCGTGCATTGTGGGATTGCCCCGGAGGACTGACTAAGGCAGTCTGGCAGCGAACCTCGTAATTACTGCCCTGTCCACAGCACGACAGCTCAACCAGTTTCAGCTCAATTGTGCTCGAAACCACCCCACCCACAAGGGCTGGGGCAGGGCTCTGTGGCAGGTGTGGGGAGCAGTGGGGTCTTAACGCACAGGCGCCCTGGCAGGGAGAGCCAGGGGGGTTAACTGGAGAGCCGCCAGAGAGGAGCCGGCCGGCCCGGGGTTCCAGCTGCTGCTTCAAAGGGATGCCCTCAGGCTTGTGTTCCCGGCCGGCCGGGGCAATGGGAAGAGCCCATGAGCAGCCCCTTCCAGAGGGGGCAGATGTGCACTCCAGCTGCCGGCCGGACACCTGGCAGAGAACACTGCAGCCTGAGACCAGCACGGCTTTGCTCCAGCCCCTTCCGCACCCTGCACGACTGCCTGCCACAGCCAGCGGAGCGCCGCCAGAGCGCCCTCCGGCCTACGCCCACCCCACCCAATGGAGCAGGCCCGGAGCACCAGCGCGCAGCCCCGCGCCTTCTCTTGACCGGTCTGGGGGGTGCCAGTCCTCAGGAGGCCACCACCGGGGCAGGTAACCTGGATCTCCAGAGCAGCGCCCGCATCCCCTCCAGCAGGGAGCCAGCCCACAGCCAGCGGAGCGCCGCCAGAGCGCCCTCCGGCCTACGCCCACCCCACCCAATGGAGCAGGCCCGGAGCACCAGCGCGCAGCCCCGCGCCTTCTCTTGACCGGTCTGGGGGGTGCCAGTCCTCAGGAGGCCACCACCGGGGCAGGTAACCTGGATCTCCAGAGCAGCGCCCGCATCCCCTCCAGCAGGGAGCCAGCGTTGCTGAGCTGCCAGAAGGGGGCCCCTGGGCTCAGTGACAGCCCTGGGCCAGGACTCACCCCAGAAAGGACAGGGGGTGCAGCCGGCCAATTCCCCTGGGAGAAGGCCCTCCCCCACCCGCTCCGGCACTGCTGGGTCGAGGTGTATGGGATTATCTCCATTAGCAAGTTATCACACCCTGGGCTAAGAGAAGGGGGAGCCCACGGTGCTAGCGCAGGGAGTGGGGGACAAAGGGCAGCAGCTGGCACATACCCTGTCTGGCTCACACCCAGCTCCGGCCCAAGTGCAAGTGCAGGGACAAAGCACTAATTCAGCTAGGCAAGACTTAAATGAATGGAGATGCCCAGCTCCTAGGACTGGAAGGGACCTTGAAGGTCATCAAGTCCAGTCCCCTGCTCTCACGGCAGGACCCAGCACCGTCCCTGACAGATTTTTGCCCCAAATCCCTAACTGGCCTCCCCAAAGACTGAACTCACAGCCCTGGGAGTCCGCTGCCCTGAGCCGGGCGCCCAGCACCAGGCACGGTGCATCTCCAGCAGGGAGCTTGGGGTTCAATGCAACGCCCAGGGCGAGGCAGGGCTCTGTGACAGCAGGGAAGTCATTAGCATGCGGCTGGCCTGGTGCCTGCGGGGCGGCCTGTCCCAGGGCTGCAGCGCACAGACTGCACAGGCCCCGGGCCGTCGGGGCAGCCGGAGCAGCAGGCTGTCAAGCTATGAGGCTGCACGGAGGCTCCATTTCCCGGGGGAGCAGACGGATCTGGGAAGACAGGCTCCCCGAGGGCCACGCTCCTGCGTCCAGGGGGTAAGGAGGGAGATGCAGGACTCACTGGGCTCCCCCAGGACGGCGTCTGTCAGCCTGGCCGGAAGGGAGCCCCTTGCAAAGGCCACGTACGTGCCACGGCAGGGAACCACCTCTGGGCTGCGACAAGAGACCGAGCTTCCCCGGGGCGCTGCAGCCACGGCAGGGGAGGGCCTGACAAGCACCCTGAGGAGGCGGAGGCTCCCCACAGGAGGTGGCCCCAGTGGGCGGACAGGGCACCCCCACGTTCCCTGCATCTCGCCAGCCAGCGCAGCTCACCGGGCAAGGCTTGGGGTGCAACCCTGGCCTAGGAGGTCAATGGGATTCACCCTGAGCATCCGAACTAGGCCCGCCCAGAGAGGGAGAGTCCGAGGCCCGGGGGAGAGGGGCCCTTACCGGACATAGAGAGAGCGCTTCTCGCTCGTCCGCAGCGAGCCGGACCCAGAGCTCATGCTGCTGTTCATCATTTGCTCCCGCAAGTCGTGAATCTTGGACTCGAAGCGGCTGTACTCTGCGGGGAGAGACGGGGGTTAGCAAAGGGAGGGAGCGCACCGGCCACAGCCCAGCCACACAGCCTGGTCCCCGGCTAAACCAGCCTCACTGAAAGGAGGCAGCCGGAACCTCGCCCGAGGGCCCAGAGGGAGGCGCCGTCTCTCTGCTCGGCTAGGAGGGACGCGCAGAGCAGCCCAGATCGACTGCCGCTGCGAAGCGACTCGCTCTCGGAGACGGGGTCGGGGCTCCAGTGCTTGCACCGGCCACAGCCCAGCCACACAGCCTGGTCCCCGGCTAAACCAGCCTCACTGAAAGGAGGCAGCCGGAACCTCGCCCGAGGGCCCAGAGGGAGGCGCCGTCTCTCTGCTCGGCTAGGAGGGACGCGCAGAGCAGCCCAGATCGACTGCCGCTGCGAAGCGACTCGCTCTCGGAGACGGGGTCGGGGCTCCAGTGCTTGCAGCCTCGAGCACAGATCATGGCTCTGGAGCAACAGGAGAGACCGGCCCTTTGCAGAGCCCCGAGCTGAGCGTGGAGCAGCGGCAGGCGTCTGGGCCCCTGCTCCCAACCCCGGTCACCTTTTCGGTGTGGTGACGGGCCCGTTGGAGGCCAGGAAACGCTTTGTTCAGCACACCGAGTAGGGATGCGCGACCCCATTGGACCAGTTACCCGGATGCTGGCTAAGGGGGATCCGCAAGGGTAAGCATCGCCCGGGAAGGGTCCACCCTAGTCCAAGGGCAGGGGTTGCCCACCAGCGCTCATGGCTCCGTTTCTTTTTGTTGGTCTCTAAGGTGCCGCAGGACCACGTGTTCCTTTGGGAACCAGGCGTCCCAGGGCAGGGCCAGCCTGCTGGCAGTAGGAGCAGCTGCACCCTCTAGGGACGGGGCAAAAGCCTCAGCAAGGTCTCGCTCCGAGGAAGGAGGGACCTGGGCAGGTGCCTGGCTACTCCAGCGCGGGAGCAGCCCCGTGCAGCTCTGCAAACACCAGCAGCCCAGGGCTCGCTGCACATGTTCACCCCGAGCGAGGCGCACTCTGCAGTTCCACAGGGCTCCCTGGTTTGGGGACCCGCTCGGGAGCGGAGCCCAACCCGTCTCTCCCCGCAGGGGGGCGTCGTGGGAGGATCAAAGCCACGCCTCAGTTCTGAAAAGGCAGCAGACGGGACACGCGCTGCCTGTGGCCACCCCCAAAGAGTCGGAAAACAACTCACTGCCTGGGGAGCTCCCGGGAAGCTGGCAAGACTGCAGAGAGCTGCTCGCCCCTCCTCGTACCAGCACCTGACGCTCCTCCCAGCTGCCTCGGCAGGCGCCAGGCTGACCTTCAGCTGGGTGTAAAGGTCGGGGAGGAAGGCAGAGGGTGGAGACAAGGCTTCTGCACACCAGGAGTGGCTTAGGGAAAGTTTGCTCCGGTGCCGCCTGCCACTCACTCTGCTCGGGGATCACTGAGCATTTGCACTGCAAGCGCCTGCCCCAGAGAGCCGGGCCGAAGGGGCACAGCACGCGGCCCCCCTACTTGGATTCGCTCCCGTGCAGCAAGGAAAGGACAGCCCTGAGCCAGCTAGCAGGAAGCAAAGTCACGTCCCAATCGCAAAGGTTAAGGGTTTGTCTCAGTTGTTTTTAGCAAACTATCGAACCCTGTTGGGGCGGAGGGGGGCAGGAGGAGGGAGG